AATATCGATTTGTTGAATCTGACTTTTAATTCATCTTTAGGATTGATAACCCTTTTTAAAAAGATTTGTAATTCACCGACTTTAATTTCATCAGATTCATATTTTCAGTCGAAAATAAAGCAATCCGGGACAGATTCTAAATATAACAGAGAAGTAGATTCAGGTAAACTTAAGGTTCTGTCGGAATTATTAAAATCAATAACTCAGATATCAAATAAGGAAAAGGTAGTAATTGTCTCTAACTACACTCAAACACTAGATATAATAGAAAAAATGTTACATTCCTTATCTTTAAGTTTTACCCGTTTGGATGGATCAACTCCAAATAGACAAAGAGATTCTATTGTTTCCTTGTTTAATAGAAGTCCTCATGTTTTTGCTTTTTTACTTAGTGCAAAATCTGGTGGTGTGGGACTAAACCTAATTGGTGCCTCTAGACTGATCTTATTCGATAATGATTGGAATCCCGCAATAGACTTGCAAGCAATGTCAAGAATCCATCGTGATGGTCAGAAAAGACCATGTTTTATATATAGATTGGTAACAACGGGTTGTATTGATGAAAAAATATTACAAAGACAACTTATGAAGCATAGTCTAAGTAAGAAATTTCTTAATGATGCTGAAAATGATGACAATAATGATCATACAAAAGATGACTTGTTTGATAAAGAAGACTTGAAAGATTTGTTTACTATTCAGTCGGAAACTATATCTAATACTCATGATTTAATCTGTTCCTGTGAAGGTAATGGAAAAGAAATGTCATTTGAAGAAGTTGATCAAGATATATCAGCAGATGAGACATTTCAAGATCTGTCGTCCTTTGGAAGTTGGACAAGTGCTTTCGAAGCCCAAAAGATGATTTCGCATGCTGAAAAGTTAAACGAAAAATCAAAGACGAACATTATTAAGAAATGCCTCGTTGGATATCGACACATTGATCCTAATCATTCCAATGTAGTTCATGATGATGTTTTGTCTCGCTGTTTGAATGTAATAAAAGATGATATCACGTTTGCATTTGTTAAGCCAAGTAATAAGCTTGAAATCATATTATGAGGAAAGATAATTCTCTCTGCTAATTAAGGTTGGTAAAACCTAAATCCAAGATAGCATAAAATATAGAAATCAGTTTGTTATTCAATAGAGCTGGAATTCTAATTTTTAAATAATATTGCATAAATGGGGTCATTGGTTTAGTCATTGATGGTTTTCCCATTCTCATTTCTACTTACATAGTAATACATAAAAAAAAGTAATTATAAACAATTATAGAATTAATTTGGTGCAGCACATGGTATTAATTATTCATGCTGAGCCAATTCTATGACATTCTTCAAGGAAGAATCTTATTTTTTCTGTATCCATAAATGGATGAGTACCGTGACCAAAATTAACAATATAATTTTTCTTACCTCCACCAAAACCTTTGATCATCTTTTCGGTTTTTTTAGTTATTATTTCATTAGTACCATATATAGCACCTGGATCTAAGTTACCTTGTAAAGTAACACGGTTGTTATTTATCTTTACGGCTTCTTCTGGATCCCATGACCAATCTAATGAGACAGTTTGGTAACCTGAGCTACAAAGCTTGTCTAGTGCATACCATGAACCCTTTGCGAAGACAGTCATTGGTACATTTTCAGTGATACCTAATTCCAACAATCTCTTTGGTACTTTTTCTGCAATTTGCTTTAGATATGGTAAAGAAAATTCATCAAAATCTGCGGAAGATAATTCACCACCCCAACTTTCGAAAACTTGTAAGATTTGTGCACCTGCTACTACTTGTTGGGCTAAAAATTCGATGGCAACGTCGGTGATTTTTTGTAATAATTTGTGGGATAATTCAGGGTATTCATTGATCCATTGTTTAGCGAATCTAAACAATCTAGAACCACCACCTTCAGACATATAAACTAGTAAAGTCCATGGACCACCGCAGAACCCAAACAAAGGAACCTCACCTTGCAATTGCATTCTTGTTAAAGTAATAGCCTTGAATGCCCAGTCTAATTCCTTTAATACATCAACCTTATAATTTAAAACTTTTTCAACATCTTCTGGAGTCCTCAAAGGTTCTGGGAAATGAGGACCTTTACCTTCAATCAATTCGACTTTCATACCCATGGCTTGTGGAATAACTAAGATATCACTAAAGATGATAGCAGCATCTAGTAACCCACGATATCTTCTCACAGGTTGTATAGTGATTTCAGCAGCTACTTCAGCATCACGACAAGTTTCAAAGAAATCTCTACCAGCTTTAGCTTCATGATATTCAGGTAGGTAACGACCAGCTTGACGCATAATCCAACATGGAGGACGTTCAACTGCCTCACCCCTAGCAGCCCTTAACATCAAATCATTTTTCAAGACTGGGAAGCTTTCACGATCAACAGACTGAGTACCTGACATCTTACTCTCTTTTTTCTCTGGATCAACCTTGTAAGTACGATAAACCTTTATCTATTATATCTGAACCCAACTCTAATTTTGAATTGTAAAACGAAAATATATCAATTTCACCAACAAGATAACTATCTTTAGAATTGCTCATCCTCCAATACAATTTATACATCTTAATTTCCATCGATACCTCTCTAACATTCATTATTTTTTTTTTATTTTTTCGCATTACTAAGGCTAAAAAAATCTTTGTACGAGAGAGATATATTAAAAATAAAAAAGCTTCAAGAATTTAAAGGTTTCATTCAAAATGACAAAGGTCAAAAATCAAAAACTGATGACGACAGTGACGTATACTAGACGCTATTGAATTGGATCTTGACTTTTGAAGATAGCTACCTGTTATTTGTAATGGTCTTGTATTACTGATCTTATTTTGGAGGTTAGTTTATAATCATAGTTTTCTAAAATTCTCTATTGTAGTCAATCGAGATGGGAAAGTGAAGAAGACAGCGAGTGTATGATCGAAGTATAAATTAGAATGATGAAAGATTTAGTTTGATAGGAATCGTCTTATTCTTGTTGTAGAAAGAAAGATAATGAAAACACTTGATATCTGAGGGTGTTTTATGTGATATTTATGTAATTTGTTTTTTTTCATAATTTCTATATTTACTTTTAGTTTTTAAAGTTTAATTTTAACATGTAAAGACACAAAATATTTTAAATTAGTATAAAGAAAAAGATTTTTTAGTGTAGTTAATAATGGATAGTTACTATTATTTAATTTGTTGGAACATTTGGATTTGAGCAAGGATAATTTCAAAATATAATTAACCAGTTAAAGAAAACGCTTCTATTCTTAAAACTACCATCATACTGAAAGCGCAAAGATCAATATTTTAGACAATTTTAAGCTACGAATTTGCTTTTCAATATAGCTACTATATAAGATCTAGAAAAGACTAAAAGATAAATTAATAATAATAATCAATTATATATTTATAAAACAAGAGATTTTATTTTAAATAAATTTTATTACTGCTATATTTTAAATTTTTATCGATGAGTTATAGCTTCCCAAATTTTGCTAATACTAACCACCACCAGCAGCACAGCAACAACAACAACAACAACAACAATAATAATAATAATAACTATGTAGAAAATTGGATTGATAATAATTTGACTCTTAACAATAATATTTACTTACAAGAATCCAAAACAAGGCCTGTTTCATCAATTTCCTCAGTCTCAAATGGTATATCAGTATTGAAAGATATGACAAATATGTCAAATGGAGGATCTGAATACGGTTCAATGAGAAGAAAATTAAAACAATATAATTTTAAAGAAGAAGAGACTACACAGATAAATAATATCCAGGTAAATAGAGGACAAAATTTTGTAGAATTTACAGATAAGTTACAAACCTGTAAGCACAATTTTGTTGGTGATGAAGAAGAAAAAAGTAAGCAATTGGTATTTCTACCTAGAGGATACCAACACCATCAAATGAGAAAATGGATGAAGAAAAGGTATATCCAAGAAGGTTTTGATTTAAAAAAAAACTATCAATGTCCCCCTTCTCCCTGTATATATAACAAAACATCAGAAAATTTAAATTATCAACAAGAGATGAACTTTATTTCATATAGATTTATGCGTTGCTTAACAACCAGGATAAATGATTCTGATAAGACAAAAGTTGAAAAAGAAGTCCTATGTAGATTCTGTCATGGAATTAATTGGATCGGTTGTGAGAATTATTTCAAGCATCTTTTTTATGCACATGGAATAATGACAGAAATTAATCACAATGACTTCCAATGGGGTTTGAAAACTTATAGTAATATAATTAAAATGGACACACTTAGATTAAAGGGATTTTTTACTGCCTATAATCAATCTTTAAAAATAAAAGAATTTTCAAGAAATATTTTACCATATTTTTCAGTGTCATTAATTCCACAACCATCGAAATTCTATTCAAACACTGTTAACGGAGGATTCAAAAGAATTCATGTATTATGCCCAAATTGTTCAACATGGATTAGATTAGGGTGGTGCGAACACGATGAGATCATTAAAGAAGAAGAAATAGAGTTAAATAATATCGATACAATTAGAAATTTAAATACTGACTACAACGTATTATCGTCAGCATCATCATTTATCCAAAATAGAGACAGAAAATTAATTGAAGGCATTTACGAAAATTATTTTTCACATTATATTGAGTGTGATTTTGATTGGTTCCAAAATCGTTGCTTGTATGTTCAAATAGAATTACAGGACTGAATACAAATTATGAAGGATTTATATGGATTTTGCTTCAATTTCCTCGCCAACTTTCGAGGTTCAAAAGTTTAAAGTAAATAGAAATTAGTAATTTTGTACAACTCTTTTTTTTATTAAAATACAAGGAACTAATTTTGCTCAAGATACTCTTAATTCGATTTCTTTTGATTTCTTTTTATTTAATTTAATTCTACTCTCAAATGAAATTTTTTTGGGAACAACAAAATCAGATCTGATAAAGGGAAAGTGATGCTTTTTTAAGACAACTAAAGATAGCAAGAAGAAACACTTGATTACCAAATTCATAGAATTAAGAACAAATAGTATTGTTTACAATAGAAATTAATAATCAATCCTCAAAAGGTTCTTTAAGATGTATCTTTGATCTCCCAGTTCTTTTTCATTTTTTAAAATTCAAGAAAGAGGGAATTAATTCGTATCTGAATTCCTATTCGGCAAAACCTAAATTCAATATATATCCGACACCAATAACTACAGAAAAAAAACTCTAACTAAGGTTTAATTCATTTTATCGAATAAACTTGAAATGACAATTTACTTAATAACAAAGAAATGTCAGACAATTGGATGAAGATATTGAAAAAAAAAATATTAATAATAATATTTTTTTTACCTTAAGAAGTATAAATATATAATTTGTTGATCTTCATTTGAATATAAACACTAACCCCTTGGGTGAGAATTAAACCCTCTGTTTCTCGAAACAAAGAAGTTAAAAAATGATCCACAATAATTTTTTATACCAAATAGAGAAAAGTATGAACCCAGCAAATATTGAATATAGAAATTATTCTCCTAAAACAGTACTCTAAATATAAATACTTCAATTGACAAAGCAAAAGAGCCCTATTATAGTTTATATAAGTAAGAATAGACATTACTAAGTTGGTTGTAAATTCAACTATAAGGAACTAGTGTAAGAGGAGCTAGTATATCATCGTAGTAAAACCGGAATTTCATTGAACTTCGAGTTCTGCAATTGGGAAAATAAGTTAAAATTGTATCGACTTCTTATCGAAAAGGATGTAAATGCAACCAATGACCAAGAATAGAAACGGATCAAACTAAATGTTTACACATTTACCGATATTATAACGAATTTGCGTAATATATCTACCTTCTTTCGAATTTCTCAAAGATGGATCAAACCTAATTTTAGTGCTCTTGACATTCGGTAGAAGAATAAGGCCATTGTAGCTGGAAATTATGGAAATAGACAGCAATATGGAAATAACTTCTTCGGGCAGCAAAGTAAGAAATGTAAAAGATTTGAACCTATGTGTCCTGCCTGCGTCACTATGCTGAATTTTTGATAATTTCATCCTTCTAATTTTGCTTTTGTTCTTTTTATACATCCACTCATTATTTATCTCTTTCAGGTTGATGAAAGTTCATAGATAAACTCTACTTCACGATGATGATATCGAAAATTGCATAAATAAAAAAAGAGGAAGAGTGTTCGACTCTTCCTTATACTTTGCAATTTCTTAAATTAAATAAATAAATTACTTGTTATGATATTATGTAAAATACACTTAATTTCTATTTTTTTCTAAAGCTTTTAGCATCATTTCGATCCTGATCACGCAGTAGCAATTTTATATCTCGACTTGAAGAACAAATTTGAGAAGTAATTAAAAAACAAGAACTAAATAAAAAGTTGATTATGCTAGCATTACCTTTCCCGAAGTTATTCAGTCCGGCATGTCATAGTATTCATGAATTGGCGAAGTTCAAGTGTAAAAATAAACCATGAAAGAAAAGAGAGTGAGATGCTGTATTAGATATTGTTTTATTATTCAGTTTTTGCCGCCAGATTCAATTGATGATTGTTCCATCTAGAATTTTAACGAAATATAAGTTGAGTATTTGGACTTTTCGTCGCTTCTTCATCGTATAGTAACTGGCTGTAACGTTCTATTATATTCTTTGTCCTTTGTTTTGTCTTTGTAAAAATGGGTATTGTGATGTTCCAAAACCAAAACACTGTAGCGGTAAAACAAGAACAAGGACAAGAACCTCGTACCACAAAAAAAGAAAGAAAAGAATCTAAATAAAGGGAACTTTGTCGTACCTATATTGTGCGCAGAGTTCTTTGAAATGTCCACATTACAGAGAAAACCCTGTGTCCAAACAAGAGCTATAGCAACGGCTTGAAGGGAGGGAAACAGCGCAGAAAGATTCTTGTGCCCCACAACACAGCAGCAAAAAACCAAAAAACATAAAAAAGAAAAGCAAAAGAAAGACAAATAAAAAAAAGTTATACTACCATATGGAGTGCAATTGCGCAGAGATGGGCGACGGTTTCTTGAGGTACGAAACAAAACGATACGGACCTCCAAATTAAGGGCAGAGAGAAGTAAGAGTACAAAACCACAAAACCACAAAACCACAAAAGGTTTGCTACAGGTGATTACCTGACAAAATACGCAACCGGTATGGAGGTTCCAGGTTTGTCGCGCTTTTTTCCAGATGTTACCGCACGGCCAGATAATGTTTCTTCCCTTTTTTTATTTCTTTTTTGCGGTAACGTGTTTTTCTTATCAAGGTAACTAACAAGGCAGTCCAAGTTGGAGCGAGTATAATAACCTTAGGGTGCTTCAGTCGGGTTCCGGTCGGGTTTTAGTCACTCCGTTCACGAGTCTGGTTGGGAGCTGAACCATTTCTTCGGCTGGCA